TGAGACCCCATGATGACTTTCTAAACAGTAAAAAGCCTACTGGACAATTTATAGATTTAAATAATACCCCTCAAGACTCGAGAATGTAATCTCAAAATAATTGATTAAAATTGATCGAGAAGTCACTTTACTGAAAGGCACTGTTCCAGTATATCCCTCATTATTTTTCCCGCGGGAAAAACCCCGCAAAATCCCGCATCCCGCAAAATCCCGCAAATCGAAAAAAGTGCGGGATTGCGGGAGCGGGACCCCGCAAAATCCCGGGCGGGATCCCGTCCCGCGCCGACGTTTTCTTTAAATAAAAGCTATAATTCTTAAATTATTCGTAATCTCTGGATATTTTTCCTTACCGAGATAAGGTAAGAATGGATTAACCAAGGAAAAGAAAAAATAAACTTGCCCAACTCCGGGTTTCCCGGAATAAAACTAAAACCCTGATTTTTTACACTGGGTTCTGCTGAACCCAGTTCAAAAAAAAAATAAACAGAAATAAAAATAATTTTGAATCTTTAAAGATTTGGAGAATATTTTAGACTCAATTGATTTGTTGAGGTTTCGAATTTAGGCCTAACTAGAGAGCGGGCTAGATCTGGATCCAGATCTTGATTTTTCCTGGATCCAGAGTCCAGATAAAAACATTTTTCAGCGTTCCTTGATTTTTCCTTGACTCAAGGTCAAGAATCTGGTCAAGGTACCCAACCGAAATCAAGGTTTTTTGAAAAGTCCTAATCCTAACAATCTCTAGTCCTAACAATAAGAGAATAAAAATATCAAAATATAATTTAATAAATAAATTTTTAATTATATTTTAAAACCTTTCTTTTTTTGAATAATTCTCCAGAAAATCGACAAGTTATAGAAGAAGAAGTCAAAACATTTGTAGTATATTTATTCCATAATTTAAATGGTTCTCGAAGAATTTCTGTTATTTCTATATTATGATGCTTTATTAAATCACTTTTTTATAATTGAAAAAAAGTACTTGAGAGGGCGTTTAAAAAATAGTTTTTAGAAAACTTAAAAATTCTTATATTTTTCAATATTTTCCCATCTGACATTCCCTATTTTGGATTCGCACCAAGCCCATCTTTTTGTAAATTTGAGCGAATCCAACTGAAAATCAACTTAAATATGTTTTTTTATTTTTCTTTAAAAAATATAATGACAAAATAGATTTCCGATTTCTTTCCAAAATTTTCTCAAAATGCCCAAAAATGACATTTTATGTGATGTACGTATACCCCTGAAACTTTGGTCGAGGGACAGAGTTTTCATTTATTTCTGGGTTGGGGATAAATGTGAAAAAATTGTTCGGGAATGGGGTCGGGGTACTAAATTTGTTTAAAGACTAGATAACCAAATAAAAAATTAATGGAAGGATACGAAAAAGGAAAAATCATTTAAAAATAAATTCAGACAATTAAAAAAATATCTTATTATTAGCTCAGTCACAATCCGCTAATAAACAAAACAAACTAAGAAATTAGTATTGGCTTTATTCTAAAATAATCACAATTTTTTTCTTTGTACCTTTTTTGTATAAAAATTCTATTAAATTCAGCTATTTTCTAACAAAAATTAAAAATTTCTCTCTCAAGTACCCTTCATCGGTATTTATTGTATTTAATATATCAACAATTAATTCTGTTGGTAGTTTTTGTTGTTTTATTATTATTAGCATTATTATTATATTTTTTTGTATTTTTATTTAAATATATATAAAAATTTTTTAAAATAAGACAATTAAAAAAATAGTAATACGTCCTCAGAAAATATTTTTCAACAAAAAACTTCCTTTTAAAATTACCGACCTTCCCACTAATAAATTTGCTATCTTCCCTTCTTTATATTAAAAATGTCTGATGGAAATAACGACAAAGAGGTAATACTCCCTTGTGTCCCGCCCAATTCTTTCGGATTGATGATACCGATCCCGATACCGGTACCGACTCGGGATCGGGATTAGCCTAAATCGGTATCGGTATTTCCTAAAAAATTTTAATATGAAAAAAAAAAATAAATTCTTTAATAAATAAATTCATTTTTCATTTTGAAAAAGGTTCTAATTAGTAGTAAAATGATAAATTAGCACTATAAAGCTATTATCGAGGCAAAAACATCTCAGCAACCAATAGAAGACCTTCCAAATCCAAATCAATTTTGATATTTATTTTAACTTTTTTTTTCAATTTTTACTTTTGGTTGCCAAATTTTTAAATTTACTCAACTAAAAATATCCTTCGGTAGACGGTTACCTATTAGAGATTTACGTTAAGTAACTTTTAGAAAATTCTGATTTTAAAATAAATCAGAATTTGTTTTTTAATAAGCTTCCCTTTTGTCGTTATTTCCATCAGACATTTTTAATATAAAGAAGGAAAAATAGCAAATTTATTTGTGGGAAGGTCGGTAATTTTAAAAGGAAGTTTTTTGTTGAAAAATATTTTCTGAGAAAAAAAAATAAAAATTTTTTTAATATTAATTTTAATATTTATTTATTTTTATATATATTTAAATAAAAATACAAAAAAAAATAATAATAATGCTAATAATAATAAAACAACAAAAACTACCAACAGAATTAATTGTTGATATATTAAATACAATAAATACTGATGAAGGGTACTTGAGAGAGAAATTTTCCATAAAAAATCTATTAGGGTGATATAGACCAATTTATCTTTTGAAAGGGCATTTGGATATAGTGTAGTGTACCGGTGGTAAAAGTTCGGGATGTGACATATGTCATTCGATTCGTCTCGACGAGCTGAGTCGAATGGTACCACTCCCTACTTTAGGAAATGATTCTGGGCCGAGTTATAGGTCCCGAAAAATTGAAAAACCATAGGGGGGAGTAAGCTCGATTTTGGGGTGAAAAATTCGAATATGCAAATAATAGCTCATTCGAAAGAGCTCGTCGAGCTGAGTCGAATGACACCAAAATCAGCTCGATTGTAAAAGTTTGGACAAAGTTACAATCGAAAAACTAACAGCATAAACCTATGGGGCGTCGGCGAGGCGCTTGTGCAAAACCCCGCGCTTCGCGCGGGGTTTTGCGGCACGCGCCTCGCAGGGAGTCTACGGGCGTTGGGTCTGGGCTCGTAACATAAACCTAGTCCCATCTCCCTTGCTCTGGATGTACTTGGGGCTCCAGTACCAGCAAAAACCTCCACGGGCGCCATAGGTAAGGAGCTAAAACAAACGAGCATAACTTTGTCAAATCAAGTCAGATTTAGTTGATTTTGGTGTCATTCGACTCGGCTCGACGAGCTCTTTCGAATGAGGTATAATTTGCATATTCGAATTTTTTACCCCAAAAAAGTGCTTGGTCCCCCCTTTGGTTTTTCAATTTTTCGGGACCTATAACTCGGCCCGGAATCATTTCCTAAAGTAGGGAGTGGTACCATTCGACTCAGCTCGTCGAGACGAATCGAATGACATATGTCATATCCCGAACTTTTACCACCGGTACACTACACTACAGCCGGGCATTTTATGGGGCGTTTAGGCTATTTTTGTTACGTCGAAAGATGAAGGGTCCCTATCTCGTCATCAAATTTTTACGGAAAAATGTGATTAATGCTTTCTTGTAGCAATTTCAAGGGCTTACAGATAAGCCCCAAATCAAAATTCAGAACTATCCATAAGAGGTCGAAAATATTTTTTGAATATGAAAAACCCCGTTTTACGTTGAATTTCAGGTTAGTGAAATCTCGGCAATGAAATGAGATATGGGCTTAGTTCTTTTTTATTTTCCCTTATTTCGATCAATATGCCAGCTAGAATTTTTATAAATTTTTTGTTTTGATTTTGGCATCAAAATATAGTGAACTCAAAAATGTTCCAAACTTTTGCTCCACAAATTTCTGGGTATAAAATATTATAGGGATAAAATATAAAAATGTGTGAAATTAATCAGATACATTTAGTGCCTAGAGAACACTTGTAGTTAATTTTCAAAAATTTAATCAAGCCCACTTATTGAAAAGTGAAAGAAAAATTATTGATTTAATAATTTAGAACAAAATGTTCCAAACTTTTGCACATTGCTTAAATATGTAAAAGCTTTCTAAAAATTCGAAAAAAAATTTTTTTCCAACCCTCTCAAGTACTTTTTTTCAATTATAAAAAAGTGATTTAATAAAGCATCATAATATAGAAATAACAGAAATTCTTCGAGAACCATTTAAATTATGGAATAAATATACTACAAATGTTTTGACTTCTTCTTCTATAACTTGTCGATTTTCTGGAGAATTATTCAAAAAAAGAAAGGTTTTAAAATATAATTAAAAATTTATTTATTAAATTATATTTTGATATTTTTATTCTCTTATTGTTAGGACTAGAGATTGTTAGGATTAGGACTTTTCAAAAAACCTTGATTTCGGTTGGGTACCTTGACCAGATTCTTGACCTTGAGTCAAGGAAAAATCAAGGAACGCTGAAAAATGTTTTTATCTGGACTCTGGATCCAGGAAAAATCAAGATCTGGATCCAGATCTAGCCCGCTCTCTAGTTAGGCCTAAATTCGAAACCTCAACAAATCAATCGAGTCTAAAATATTCTCCAAATCTTTAAAGATTCAAAATTATTTTTATTTCTGTTTATTTTTTTTTGAACTGGCTTCGTTTCCGATTGAAAAAAATCAGGGTTTTGGTTTTATTCCGGGAAACCCGGAGTTGGGCAAGTTAATTTTTTTCTTTTCCTTGGTTAATCCATTCTTACCTTATCTCGGTAAGGAAAAATATCCAGAGATTATCCAGAGATTACGAATAATTTAAGAATTATAGCTTTTATTTAAAGAAAACAAAAACTCCTGCTAGACTCAAATATCCCCTCCCATAATTTAATTCAAAATTCTACTACAACATAACGCCAAATTCATTTTTGTTTTTCTTCATATAAAAGCTGTAGCTCTTTCATTTTCTAGTCATTCTTAACAATCGAGCTCTTTTTTTTAAAAACCATTTTAAAGAGTGTTTTGGGTCTTACATTAATTATTTTTTTATTTTTATTGATTTTTTAGTGATTTTAAAAAAGTAATTAAGCAATTCTACGTAATGTCGGTTGAACAATTGAATAATCAACTGTCTTTGGCTCATGCTCGAATCACTTCTCAGGATCGGCAAATTGCTTCTCAAGATCAGCAAATTGCTTCTCAAGATCAGCAAATTGCTTCTCAGCAAACTCAACTTAACAAATTGACTGGAATGATTGGACTTCCGCCGGTTAGTTTTAAAAAATATGTTTTGACTGATCTTTCCGTTAATATCGATTTCATAGCATGAAACCTAATTATGCCTCGTTTTTCGAATTAAACTTCATTCCTTTTAGTGGCGTTTTTAAGAGGTTGTTATTTTCAGAATAAGATTGGGGGAAAGAGTTAAAAATTGATAACACAAATACCCCATACCTAGTCATTTTTAGGCCATTATTTTAGAAAATAATTTATTCATATATTAAAATATTTTTTATTTTAGGTGTTCGTTGGTTATTGTGGCCGGTTTGAGCGTAGATCCTGCAGTCTTTATGCTCTGGGATTTACTGGAACAGTGCCTTTCAATAAAGTGACTTCTCGATCCATTTCAATCAATTATTTTGAGATTACATTCTCGAGTCTTGAGGGGTATTATTTAAATCAATAAATTGTCCATTAGGCTTTTTACTGTTTAGAAAGTCATCATAGGGTCACAGAATTCCTCTAACCCTTGTACTCTATATTTTTGAGCATTATTTTAAGCTGTATCAATTTTATGGGGGAATCAAAATAAATTTTTAAAATAAGAAACAAAATTTCAGTTTTGACCTGTTAGGTCTTTGCAATGACAAAAACTTTATTTTCATTAATTCGCAATGGGAATTAAAGTCTGATCCTGGACGAAAACTCCTTCTGGACGTGGACGAAATTGGAGGTCCGATAACAATTGGTTCTGGAATTGTTTGGCCATCAATGAACAAATTCTACAAGAGTGAAGTTCCGCATATTTTTTTCACGATCAATGGGCAAAAGATTGGTATTTTTAATTTTCTATAAAATGTAATACTCAAAATTTTCAGGGAAATATATTCCTGTTGACTCTTCCTCGGATATGTTCCATCCAAAATTTGACTGCCATGGTGATGATGCTGTGGTTAATGTTAGTCTTGCTGAAGGTTTCCGCTATGATGTGGTCAACCAAGACTTTGGAGACGATGTGTACAATGAGGAAGACTGGGACATTTAAGTGAATAAATCTAAGTTTATTTAAATAAAAAAAATTGTTAAATTATTTTGTTAATTTTAAAAATAAAAATTTTTCCCATCCTGGGATTTGATGTTTATTACATGGTGTGATTTACACTTGAATATTTAACTCTTTTGATTCCTTTCCTTTTTTGCGAATTTCACAAGTCGTTTTCTCTCCAATCATTGTTGACCTCATTCGAATTCACTCCTATTCTAAGGATTTGTGAGGTTCATGTAATTCCCTCGATTTTGTTTTTTTAAATATCGAAAAAATTCAAAAGAAATTTATTACAAAATTAAGGCACTAAAAATTAAGTAAAAAATAAATAAAAATAACAGAAAAAATATGAGCTTTAAAGGTGAAACTAGTTTTTCTGCTGAAGACTGACTAGCTGTTGCCAAGTCGAAATTGCAAGTATTCCCCTAAAAATTATTTTTTAATTTAAAATATTCCCCCCCTTTTTCCAAACCTTGCAAGCACAATAAATCTCTTCCAATTCATTCTGTACCCATTTGTGTGTACATCCAAGTTGAACAAAAGTAGGCGTTGTGACATTTATACAGCCACGTTTTTCGTGCATTTTTGGGGAAGGGGAAGTTTGTTGTCCATTATTATTTCCATTTCTATTGGTTGACCAATTGTTGGAAAATATTCTTTGGGCTGCGTAAACACAGAAATGGCCTAGAAAAAAATTTTTTTGAAAAAAATTTTGGAAAATTTCAAAATTATTTCTGAAAAATTTTCAAAAAATTTTTTAAAAATCGAAAAAATTTTCTAAGAACATACCTTTACATTTATTTTGTCTACATCCAGAAGTCATTGAAGAAGAAACATCTTCCGCACTCATATCACAATTTATGCATTCATAAAGTGGTGGTAAAGGGGGAAGTTTTTGTGCTGATATTGACATCTCCCATTGACGCCTTTAAAGAAAAATTTTTTTTATAAAATACAGCCGGCTCCAGTCCACACTCTACTTACACCCAAAGTTACACTCTCTATTTTAGATGGCTACCTGGGTGGTGGGAGAAATGCCTAGCAGTACCCTCAGTTTTAAGTAAATAATCCGAGTTTTGTCCACTTTTTTATCCCCAAAAGTTTGTTGAATCGAGTTCCTAGACTGTAATTTATTTTGAAACCCCCCAAAAATACCTAAAAGTAAAAATCAAAAAATAATTTTCTCTCTAAAAATAACCTCTGTTGTTGTTGCTCTCTTTGTTGTTTCTTCTCCCCTCCTCCACCCAAACTTTTTAGCAAAGAGGAAATAAAAGAAGAATCACTTCCAAAATCATCCCCATTTGAATTACACATATTTTTCCCCCCACAAATACAGAAACGTTGAGGGGAAACTTGAAAAAAATTTTTTTAGAAAATCTTAGAAAAATTCAAAAACACCTCCACCCCCACGGCTAATACTCAAACAAACGTGTTGTTGACGTTGTAAAAGTTCTGTCGTTTTGTACAAATAGGGAAGCGAAGGAGGGCCAAAACCACAACCAGCTGCGCCTGTTGAGGTTTTTTGATGGCACCATTGGCCTAAAATGGAATTTTTAATAAGGGAAATCTCTCTATAAGCGACAACATTTGGCCTGAATTTTGCTGGCTTAAGAAGGAAAGTAACGTTTTAGAGGGAGTCAGGTTAGGTTAAAAACACGTCTAGACCGAATTAGGCTAAAACAAGAAAGTCGCTTATAGAGAGATTCTGGAAAGTCGCTTATAGAGATGTTCTAGAAAGTCGCTTATAGAGGGATTCCTCTTTATTTGATCCTCTGTACTTTTATTGTCTCCCAAAATCACCCTTGAATACCCCCAACAATCCCTCAATTATTAATACCTTGACACGTCTGCCCACAATCAGGCCTTCCATCTGGACATTGCCTACAAGTCACGTTTCTCCATGTGACTGTGTTCACATGCATAAGAATTTGGTCGTTACAAAAATCTGTCGAAATTTCTCAAAAATTTTTGAGAAATTAACAAAAAAAATTACCAGGCCCAGCACAAACGCAAAGGACATGATCAGAAAAATGGTCAAAATCACACCCAGCTCGAGTTCTAGACGGCCTCTTCACACACCCTTTGGAAAGCCTAAAAATTCCTGGGACTTCTGAAGGCTGTTTCTCTGCAAAACAATAATCTGCTTCACAAGACCCCATCCTTTAAAAATTATTATTTTAATTAAAAAAAAATATTTACTGGCAGTTGCATGGTGCACCAGCTAAACATTGTCCAGAACAGGAATAACAACGACGTCCCTGTAAGGGAAAGTTTTCTTTATTTTAATTAATCTGCCATTTTTTCCGGAATTTTCTATTTCTCTAAGTTCTGTTATTTATGTATATTTTATATTTCCGGATAGTCTTCTTTCCGGAAATTATTTTCTCGTTCCTATTTAATTTCTATATACTCTCTATGTGTCTGACATCTTTTCCGGAATTCTCTCTTTTCCTTTTCTTTTTTAATATTTTCCGGAATTCTGTTCCGGAATTTTTAATATTTCCTGAACTAAATATTTTTTATTTCTGTTCCTGTATTTAGCGTTTCCTCATTCCCTCCGGAATTTTAGTAGTATTTCTGCATATTTTTCCGGAACATTTTCTGCATTCTATACCCTTTCCGGTATTTTCTCTCTTCTCTAATAAAAATTAACTACCTCCAATAAAGCAGTAGACAACGCAAAAATTAAAAGAAATAAAATAAAAAATTTATTAGAGATCAACAACAATAATTTTGAAGGTTGCAAATAAAGGTATTGACAAGTCTGTTTATTCATTTGCAACAAAGTTGGCAATAACTCAGCCTTTGCTGACAATTGCAAAAATTAGGCATTGCCTGCGCAGGGATGAGATGAAAGGAAATTAATTAATTTTATTTTTATGTGAGAAGGAAAGAGGCTTTCTGAAAAATAAATAAAAATAAATTTATTTTTATTCTGAAAATTTAAATTAAAAAAAAATTTTTTTTCTAAACTTTAATAATAAAAAAATATTTATTTTAGTAGCACCTTAATACGCCTATAAAAGGGAAATAATGAAGAAAGGAAGTTTTAATTAGCGGAAAATTTTAATGAATGTTTTTCTTAAAATGGGCTTATCCAAACAATAAAATTGTAAAATTTTATTTAAAACAAAACTTAGTTAAAACTTGATTGTAAAACAAGTTTAATTAATTTGAAAAATGTTTTTAAAACAAGTTTATTTATTAAAAAGTTTTAGTTGTAAAAACAAGTTTATTTAAAACTTAGGAAAATGTCTATGTTTGAAACATGTTTTAAACAAACATGTTTATTCAAACTTGTTTTTCAACATGTTTTACTTATTTAAAACTTAATAGAAAGTTCGCGTGTTTTAACTGAACTTTAATATGAAAATTAAAATAATTATTTAAATATGGAGGAGGACAGCGAACGAGAAAAGAGAATATAAAAACAACATAGGAGAATGCTATTTTTTGGCTCCAAATAAGGTCTTCGAGAACCATTTAAATTATGGAATAAATATACTACAAATGTTTTGACTTCTTCTTCTATAACTTGTCGATTTTCTGGAGAATTATTCAAAAAAAGAAAGGTTTTAAAATATAATTAAAAATTTATTTATTAAATTATATTTTGATATTTTTATCCTCTTATTGTTAGGACTAGAGATTGTTAGGATTAGGACTTTTCAAAAAACCTTGATTTCGGTTGGGTACCTTGACCAGATTCTTGACCTTGAGTCAAGGAAAAATCAAGGAACGCTGAAAAATGTTTTTATCTGGACTCTGGATTCAGGAAAAATCAAGATCTGGATCCAGATCTAGCCCGCTCTCTAGTTAGGCCTAAATTCGAAACCTCAAAAGGAGGGGGAATACGAACCGAAGAATTACCAATAAAATTTTCAAAAAATTTTTAAGACGTCAATGGGAAATGTCAGTAGCAGCACAAAAACTTCCCCCTTTACCACCACTTTATGAGTGCATAAATTGTGAAATGAGTGCAGAAGATGTTTCTTCTTCAATGACTTCTGGATGTAGACAAAATAAATGTAAAGGTATTGTAATTTTTTTTTGAAAATTTTTTT